GCGTTCTCTGGCTGGGGTTCAGGGTCATGCAATTTTTATTACGCCCAGCTCTGCTTGTGAAATTATCAAGCAGGGACATCAAGGGCCTGTGTTGCCATAGCAACAAAGCTATGTCAGCCCAGCTATCCACCCACAATTCTCAGATAGTGGACCTAATAACTTCAGCACCAACTCGGGGTCAGAAACTATCCATCCTAATGGTGGATTCCTTCATGTGCTCTGTTACCTGGAGGTTACCAACATTTTCAATCATGCCTAGGGATGTTGAAGTTTGAGTGACATGATGCCTGCAAAGCATGAAGCACAGAGTGACAGTAATGATGCCAGTAGCGATCAATCTCTTTGTGGCAGATTCTGTCCTTATCACTTGTCATGGATCATAGTAATATTCACAGCTACACAAGAGGTGACATGCTATCCTTATCCCCATTATACAGATGAGCAATTGAGGCTTAGTGTGATCAAATGATTTGCCCTTGGTCGCAAAGCTGGAAAGTGATAGATTTCAATGCCGGCAGCATGATGCCAGGGCTGGACTTGAGTAATAGTTTGCCTGTCAATGTCTGACGAGGTCCACTCACTGGTTTCTGCTTTGTCTTCTCACCTTGGGCTTCAGTGATTCCAAACCACGTGGTCTCTTATGTTGTTCCTTTCTTCCTCAAGCTTTCCCTTCCTCCTTCCCCTCTGCAGGTCCAAATCCTCCTGGGAGGGGTGATAATCAAAATATTCAATAAGAGATCACGCTCGGGGAAAGAGTACTTAGGCTCGATGCACTAGCCTGGCCCTGAAGGACCACTGCAGCCCCAGGGACAAAGCCCTTGCTGGCTGGTTCGTGTGGGCAGCTCCACAGGAGGGACCTAGTGGGCAGACAAGGAGTGCTGGGGCGAGGCATGGGGCAATGCTTGTTACCAACGGGTATGGACATGCCAATGTTGTAGAAACTGGTTCTGAATTTCAGCCCTGACTCCTGTAAGTCCCTGATCCGAGTTTCTATTCAAGTATCACTTAGATTCAAACACTCTGGGCTTAGTCTTCACACTTTATTTTTTTAAATTGAAGTATAGTCAATTTACAGCTGTGTTAATTTCTGGTGTACAGCATAGTGATTTTGTTATACATATATATGTGTATATACATATATATGTCATTTTTCATATTCTTTTTCATTATAGGCTATTACAAGGTATTGAATACAGTTCCCTGTGCTGTACAGTAGGACCTTGTTGTTTATCTACTTTATATGCAGTAGTTAGTATCTGTAGATCCCAAACTCCCAATGTCTCCCTCCCCATCCACTTCCCCCCAGTAACCATAAGTTTGTTTTCTATGTCTGTGAGTCTGTCTCTGTTTTATAAATAAGTTCGTGTATGTCCTTTTTTTTTAGATTCCACACATAAGTGACATATGGTATTTTTCTCTCTCTTTCTGGCTCACTTCGCAGTCTTCACTCTTTATTTTGTTCTCTTCTTGTTCCTGCCTCATCTGTCTTACAATTTTGTGTCTCTGTCTGTCTTTTGTACCAGACTCTGCAATAAGTAAAGACAGTAGACTCCACCTGTGCATCCCCTTTGCCTAACACACTGTTGAGTGAATAAATGAATCTCTGCATCTGGCAGTGTTACCTTTTTCTGCATGTTTTGGATCACCAGCTAGACTTACAGAGCTTTGAATGTCAGAGCGAGAGTTCACATCTCTACTTCTGGGTGCCAACAGTTCTCTAACACAGGCTCCACCCTCAATATGGAGAAGCCATAATAATTAACCATTTATAACTTTCATGTTATTGTGCACTAAGTAACACACCAGACAAGAGTTGAAATTCAGATATTTTATACACACACACACCCCCCTATACCATGCGCATTTAAACATATCATAATAACATATATATGCTGATCATATACACACACACGCACTCACATACAATCTTTGAAAAACAAAACTCCAAGGGCAGACATTTTTATCTCCACTTTGCAGGAAAACTTGGAACCAAAGAGCCAGCACCTACATTTTTTAATTCATTTCAGCCACTACCTGCAAACCTTTGATGTGCTGCTCCTTGACACCAGTACTGAGGGCAGGAATCCAGTGGTCAAATTTTAGAGTGTTTCATGCCTTTTTGGAGCTTTCAGTAAGTGACAGAGATAAGATTAAAAATTGTAATAATGCAATGAAGGGAAAAAGGATGCTATTAGGGAGTCTACCAAGGGGACTATAATTTCAATTTAGAAGGGTTGAGGACATACCTATATGAAATGACACCCTATCTATTAAGGAGCTGGGCTAGAATTTGGGTCTAACTCTGTTGGGCTGATTGTGGACAAGATGACATCTATGTGCTTCATTTTGTAGAAGAAATGTGTTCTTAGCAATTTTTTTAAGTAAAAAATAACTATTTTAATTCTGTATTCATTTTTCAACTAGTCACAAAAGAGAGGAGAAACCCTTTAGGGTTTCCCATGTAGAGATCACTTTGTTAGCAGTCATTATATGTATTATCCAAAAATTACTTGAATGCCTTCAGTGGTCAGGAGCTCACTATCTCAAAATATAGCCTATTTCACTGCCAGTAACACAGATGACTTATACACTCACATCATGTGCTCAAATATTCATATGTTCATAGTGGCAGTGTTTACAGTAGCCAAGACATGGAAGCGACCTAAATGTCCATTGACAGGTGAATGGATAAAGAAGATATGTTTTATATATATATGTATATATATATACATATATATATAAAATACTACTTGGCCATGAAAAAGGAATAAAATAATGCTATTTGCAGCAACATGGATGGACCTAGAGATTATCATACTAAGTGAAGTAAGTCAGTCAGAGAAAGACAAGTATCATGTGATATCACTTACGTGTGGAATCAAAAAAAATGGCACAAATGAACTTATTTATAAAACAGAAACAGAATCACAGATATAGAAAATAAAATCACAGTTGCCAGGAAGAAGGCGGGGGAGGGATAAATTAGGAGTCTGGGATTTGCTGATCCTAACTATTATAAATAAAATAGATAAAAGCCCTAGTGTTGCACAGAGAAATACATTCAATATCTTATAATTACCTATAATGATAAAGAATATGAAATATATATATGTATAACTGAATCACTATGCTGTACAGCAGAAATTAACACAACACTTTAAATCAACTATACTTCAAAAAAAAAAGTTGTGAATCCTAATCTCTGTCCTTGTGTCATGTATCTGAACCATCTCTCTGAGGTCATTTTTGAAGCTCAGTGAAGTCTCTCTCCCTTCTAGGATGCTATTCCTAAATAAAAAAAAACAAGAATATGGGGGCAGGAGACAGTTTTAGCCATCATCTCTAGCCCTGTGTTTCCCAATATGCGGAACAGATGTGCTTTTAAAAAAATGAGCGTCACTTGGTGAGACGGTTACTCACTTTACATTCTCTGTCAATCGCCTTGCTAATGTCATGATGAAAGTCTCAGGGCGGTGCTAGCGTGTCTTCAATCTCTCTCTGACACTTGCTAATCTCCCTTTTTAGCAAAGAGGGGGCAGGTTCCAGACTGAGAGCTTTTGGCAGACAACCGTTTTCACTGTCAGGGCTTTATGTTGTCTGCCAGAAGAGACCTCATCCAG